ATAACTAAATGATACTAAATTTGGTGTTGAGTGAAGTAATAGAAGTAAAATTTTGAAATTTGACAGTTAGATACCTATTGGTATCTGAAATTGTGATTTGGAGGTGGGTTTGAACTAAATTTGGCGTTGTCTGAAGGGATAGGGCTGGAATCCTCAAATTTAATATTGAGATCTCTGTTGGTGTCTGTGGATGAGAAAAGAAACTGTTTTTGTATTAAATTAAAAAATTAACGAAGTATCTGACACTTGCTAGTCTCATATAGAGCTAAGAAATTTTGAACCACATCGCCTCTAAAGAGAGATGTGCTGGATACGAGTCTAGTTCTAGTTCCAAAACCAATTTTAAAAATGATTTCTTCTTCTAAAGCCTTAGTAGGTCGAGTAGATTCGTTACCATAGATTTGTTAGAGATTGTCATATATTCACTCTCAACATCCTTATCGTAGTTGAGCTTAAGCTTCTATTCAACTAGCCTATATACTTCACCTGCAATATACTGGAGGCTGGGGAGGGGAGGACAATTTTTACTGTGCATGGACTTCATTCGTACAAAAACAGTCCTAGTTGGTAGCCTTTGTGAGCTTCCTAGGATGCCTTTATAAAAAATCTATGGATAAATACAATATATCTGTCTTCTTCTGACGTCTGTCCTGGTTATTATTTTCCCTTCTTGACTTAAAACCAATCTGGCAACGCTGCAAAGATATCTCATCCCAGCACTTGGCTTAATAGTTGTGCTCACCATAGTTTATTCCATTAAATTCGAAAATTTCCATATAAATGATGTGTGGGCTTGTGTGTGTGTGCGTATGGAGGTCCTGTTGTTGGGCGTAAACACAATGGCTAACAAAGTCATTTGGTAGTTGTAATGCTTGTCTTTTGACGTCTGTTGCCATCAACTAAGTGTGTGTGTGTGTGTGTCTGCGAGCGTGTGTGTAATTGCAAAGAAAATCGGTATGTAATCATTGTGTTAGAGGGACATTCTAATAACTTGATACGAAACGAGATTAGGATGTGTCCAAGTGGAAATATGTTTGTCAAGTAAATCTTCAATACAGTTACAAGGAAATGGGGAAGAGAAAATAAGGATGTTTTTCTCTATGTTCTACTATGTGCAAGGGACTCTGTTTCAAATTGATGACATAATTTTTTGAGTTTTTTTGTTTTGCAATAGTTTTATTTTTTTGTGTCAGAATTGTGCAGCATTTTTAAAAAATTGCCCTTTTGCTACTTTTAAATTCTTTTAAATTTAAATTGAGTAAGATTCATAAAATTAGTCCATATTTTACAAAGAGTAAAATGAGGAAAGGATCGTGTTAAAATAGCAACAGAGAAGACAAGGACTGGTACATAAAGGGAGTCTTATTTCCACAGAAATTTTGAAAATTATTGTGCATATTGGGCGCCATTTTACATATATAGTAAACACGACAATAATTTTTTCATTGTTATACCCTCACCCAGATGATACATACCCTCATTTGATACGGCCTTACGTGCCTTATAGAAAAAACAGTTTTAGACCCCAGGTCTCTTTGTACTAAACTCGTTTCAGAACATTTGGATTCGATCTAGCGATGTCCGTTCGTCTGTCTGGCTGGTGCACACGATAACTCTCGAAGGGAGTATCCGATTGATCTAAACTTAGATCGAATTCGGAGATGGGCAATATCGGCCCACTCTTTCTGGTACCTCCCACATAAAAGGTCGAAATTAAAAAAAAAAAAAAAAAAACAATTTAAAAATTATCAATCGGTTCTGCCGATAGACTAATACTCTCAGCCATTGTTCGTTTATTTAAATATATATTTAGAGTTCTGTTATGATTAATCATACTGTTGACCCTCTTTGAAGTGGGCTCTGAGGGAATGGACCAATATTGTCAATTTCGTATCGGACCTAAATAAATACGATATAAATATGGGTTAACTTGGTAACAGGTTGGTAACTTCCTTCACTTTACATGACACATGACTTGTTTCGCAAGCTACGACAGATAAAAGTATTGAAAATTGTGACCCTTTTTGGGTGAGTACCAGAAGGGTTTCGCAGATATGTATCAGATATGTATATGTGAGATTTGAAGAGAGTTGGATGCTTATTTCGATTTCTTTGAGTGCTTTGATTTTCAAATCTTGAACCTTATGTGGGGCAGGTTCCATGAGAAATGGTCCGATCTCTACCATCTTTATAACAGATCTTGTGTTGATGAAACTATTGAGATGTACCAATGAATGAATGGAAACGGATCTTAATTTGGCGTTTTTATGAGCTTAGTGGATATTCAAAATTTTGAACCTTTGTGTGGGAACTACCAGAAGAAGTGGACCGATATATTCCATCTTAACACCAGATCTTGGGTTAATAAAATGATCGAGATGTGTGAAATTGGACTCTGACACCACATATTATAAGAGTTGTAATTATAATGGACCGATATTGTCCATTTTCGCATCTGACATAGCACTGATGCAAATATTAGGATTCGCAAAGTTGGCGCAAAATCGGATTATCGCTTCTTTTTCTGTACAGAAATTATATATTTTTTTTGAAAATGTCGACCTTTGGTGTTGGATGTACCAGAATGAGTCGACCGATATTTTCCATCTTCATACCAGACGTTGGAAAATTTACGTCACATTTTATAAGAGTTATAATTATTCAAACTTGTGACCTTTTGTTTGGGAGGTACTTGACGGAGTGGAGAACCTAACCTAGCATTGATTCAAATATTAAGATTTGCGAAGTTGGAGCAAAATCGCATTGTCCATTCTCTTTCTGTGCAGTAAAATATTTTCTTTGAAAATTTCGACCTTTTGTGGGGGAGGAACCAGAAGCAGTGGATCGATAGTACCCAACTCTGAACTCGATCTAAGTTTGACAATAATATTACGATGTACCACGTTTAAGCGAAATCGGATACTCCCTTCGAGAGTTATCGTTCGCACCAGCCAGACAGACGGACGGACATCGCTAGATCGTCTCCAAATGTCCTTAAATGGATTTGGTCCAAAGAGACCTAGGGTATAAAACCGTTATTGTGGCTAGGCACATTTTGACCGTATCAAATTATATATATCCTCTCTAGCCATATGGCAGAGGGTATAAAACTATTCGGATAAAGTTGTAAATAACTTTTCGATATTCTGCACATCCCAATATTTTTATCAGCATTAAAGGAAATGAATACTTCGGTCCCTTATATCTGGAGCTTCACGCATATTTTAACATTTTACAAAAATTATCGCATATTTTATATAAAGGAAGTAGTCAATAGAGTCCGAGTCTGGCATGTTGTAATATTTGATAATGAGCGGGTTTGATACGAGATGGAAAATATTGGCACACTTCTTTAGTACCAAACAAGTAAAAAAAGCTGTAAGTTTGGCCGGGCCGAACTTTGAGTACCCTCCACTGTTTGGTAAAAATTTAACAATTTTCAAAAAAATAAAATCCGTTAAAAATTCTGTTAAAATCTTAAAAATACCGAATGTAGCCGTATATTAGGGTCTATGCGACGACGTGGACCTGCATAGGCAACTTTTGTCACAAGCTATTACAATATTCAAATGCGAAACTTAAATGCAAATGCAAATTCAAATGCGAAAAATCTGTTTATAATGTAGCTAAAATCATCAAAATACCGAATACAAGGAAGTATCATGGGAGTTATAAAACGTGGACCAACACAGACAATTTTCTGTCATTGGCAGTAGTATCTATTACGAACTTCAAATACAAAATTTTAAATAATTCCGGTAAATAATGTCGCTAAAATCATCAAAATGCCGAATATCGGGGGTTCCGTTATATGCGGGGCTATACGAAGACGTGGACCTACATGGCTCATTTTCTGTCCTTGGATGTGGTATACATTACGAACTTCAAATACCAAAATTGAAACAATTCCGGTAAATAATGTCGCTAAAATCGTCAAAATACCGAATATCGGGGGGTACCGTTATATGGGGGCTATACAAAGACGTGGACCTGCTCACACAATTTTTTGTCATAGGCTGTAGTATTCATTACGAACTTCAAATACAAAATTTGAAATAGTTCCGGTAAATAATGTCGCTAAAATCATCAGAGTACACAATATCGTGAGTTACTGTTATATGGGGGCTATACGAAGACGTGGACCTACATGGCCCATTTTCTGTCCTTGGATGTGGTATCCATTACGAACTTCAAATACCAAAATTGAAACAATTCCGGTAAATAATGTCGCTAAAATCATCAAAATGCTGAATATCGGGGGTACCGTTATATGGGGGCTATACGAAGACGTGGTCCGACATGGCCCATTTTCAATACCAAAAGTCCTGCAGACATAATACACATTTGAGTAAAATTTTATCAACCTACTTCATTTCGTTCGGAAGCTAGAGTGATTTCCACAGACGGACAGAAGGACGGACATTGGTAAATCGACATCGAATTTTATGCTGATCAAGAATATATATACTTTGTGGGGTCTAAAGTGTATATTTCGAGGTGTTACAAACGGAATGACAAACTTAATATACCCTTCATACTATGGTGGAGGGTATAAAAAGTAATAATAAGTACCCAAAAAAGAGTCAACATTTTAATAATCCTAATGCAAGTCAGAATTTATTTCAGTAAACCGACAATGGTGGAGGGTATACATTTGTTGGCAAATTCGGCTGACCATTTCTAAATTGTTTTATATTTAATGTTGCAATTTTCTGATATCATGTAGAACTTCTCCTTCTATCCCTCATAAATAAATTCAAAACTTTCCAGCCTCCCAAGCGGCCGCAATAAATTCTAATATCTCTACTTCTTGCCATTGCATTGCCAAAAAAAAACTGCTGCAGACATAATTTTTCCCCATCCCTAGACCCAAAACCATAAAAATAAAATGCATTTTTCAAACATCGGCCATTACATAAAAACTAGACATTTATACGTTAGAATATTTGTATGTATGTTTGTATTTAAAATCTATGTTTACATGTCTGTATTTAACTTACGGTGCTGCTGTGGCCTTCTCTGTGATAGTTTTCGTCTTTGTGGCGGTGTTTCCGTTTCACTCAGACGTGGCTCACTGGTGCAGTATGAACGGGTCTCTTGTAAATTATGCTGCATTTGTTGTTGGACTTGTGGACGTCGTCGTACCTGAAAAGAGAGAAAAAATAAAAATAAAAACAGTTTCATAAAAAAACGAAGAAGAACTTCAACATTAGGCGGGTGGTTGGATGACCGTACGAAAGATGCAACTGAATCAGCGACAAAGTGAAAAATATTTTAATTGAATTTTTTAAGGAGCCATCAAAGGGATGAGAAATTCATAACTTGTTTTAAAATATAAACAACAGTTTGTTGGAATACTTAGCAGTGATAGAAGGGATGGAAGATAAGGTTATTATTTTTTATATATTCCTTGAAGGGATGAAATAAATTAAAAATTCTCCAATTTTTAATTAAGTTGGCCAACAATTGTTATTATTTGCTGATAGTTATTGGTTATATATTGGAAAAGTTTAGTGTTTGAAGTTTAAAAGTTAAATGCATTTTCATTGAGAATATTGTGCAATAAAATAAAACTGAATGTGAGGGGGTGTAAATTTGCGTTTTGTTATAAACGTTCGTGGTGGGTTGATTCAAAATTCATAGGACTTGTTATAGCATTTTTGACTACCCAGTATTACATGAGGTAAAAACTTTATATCCCTCTGTTTGAAATGATTAAAGCTCCATTCATAGCAACAATTCTTCATTTTAAGCAAATCGAATGAGAAATCTTTTCCTCTTTCATCCTTCAAAATAAATTCGTTCCATGATCTCTTTGTCCTCTTTTCTTTGACACACAATTAATAAAACCAGTGAGGAAGGTCTATGCGAATTTAGTAGAGCTGCCGTAAAAAAAGTTTGAATTGGCAATTTATGTAAAGACGATCATGAACCTTATTTGAATGATGATACCCATCTATGTTACAATTTTAGAGAAGTCACAATTTGATTATATTAACCAGTAAAGAAAGTCGGGTGGGGTCGATTTTATGATACCCTACACCACTTTGCTAATTTAGTTGAGCTCCACATAACAATTAAAAGTTTTTATGGGAGAATTCAATCATACACCCTATGATTATAATTATAATTTAAAATTCAAAGGACTGAATATGCCGAAGCATTTGTATCTTTTAATTTCGGACCTGTATTGTCCATTTGGTGGAAAAGTAATTTGAAATCAGATAAAGATATATATAGGGAGCTATATCCAAATCTTAACCGATCTCGATAAAATTTGGCAAAGATATTTCTGACCCGAATTTGATATATTTCACCTGAATATCGTTGTTACGGAGTGCATGTTACGAGTGCAACAATCGGATGAGCAATATATATGGGAGCTATAGCTATATCTGTACCGATCTTCACCAAATTTGGCATACTACCTTCTTGACTCAATTAGGTCGTATATGCCAAATTCCCTCCCATTTGGGCAAATATTAGACGTTTGGTGCAAAATAAAAGGTAAATCGGACGAAGTTATATATGGGAGCTATATCCAAATCTGAACCGATCTTGATAAAATTTAGCAAAGGTATTTCTGAGCTGCATTTGATATATTACCCCAAATATTGTTGTTACAGAGTGCATATTACGGCTGCGGAGGACAAAAATAACAAATCGGATGAACAATATATATGGGAGCTATAGCTATATCTGAACCGATTTCGAATAAATTTGGCATACTTATTTTCAGGCCTAATTTGGTTATATGCGCAAAATTCCATTCTATTCGGGCTGCTATTACACGTTTGGTGCACAATAAAAGGCAAATCGGGCGAAGATATATATGGGAGCTATATCTAAATTTTGACCGATTATCTCCAATTTCAACGGGGTTCGTCCTTAGGCCAAACAAATGTTGTTTGGAAAATTTCATCTCGATCGGATAATAAATGTGACCAGCATTTTGTTCACAAGAATAAATGGACAGACGGACTGACATGCATAAATCAACTCAGAAAGTGATTCTATGCAGATCATCAAAAGGAACTGTGGGTCTATCTCGTTTTCTTTTGCCTGATACAAATAAATGCACAAAGACATAATACCCTGACCACCTTGTGGTATAGGGTATAAAAACAATTTATTAGAGCAATAGATATACCGAACCGAATTTCACAAAATAGAAAAATTCGGTGGAATATGAAGAAATCCATCCAATTCGAGTTGATATTACATATATGGCGAACAATAACCTTAAAATCGGATGAAGATTTATATCGAAGCTACATAAAAATCTGAACCAATCTCAATGAAATTTGGCAGAGGTATTTTCGAGCTGTAACTGATGTCCGGTATCAAATATCATTGTTGTGGAGTGCATATTACGCATGCGAGGGACTTTAATACAAAATCGGATGGAGCATGTATATGGGAGCTACAGGTATATCTGAATCGATTTTCACCAAAATTTTTGAGCAATTGCTTCTAGCTGAATTACGTCGAAAGCGTCAAAAGCTTGGGTTGATATTAGCAATTTGCTACTACGGTGGTATGGGATCTATATCCAAATCTGAACCGGAAAATTGTAGACACCCACTTCTGAGCTGTATCTGATATCTGGTACAAAAGATTGTTGTTGTGGAGTGCATATTACGTATGCGAGGGACTTAAAACCCCAAATCGGATGAAACATTTCCGATTTTCAACAAATTTCATGTACTTGGATGAATTAAATCGGAATTGCAAAAATTCAGTCCATTTAGGCTGATATCAGCCATTTGGTACACAATACTGGGTGAGATGAAAAATCTGCAATCAACTTCAGACTACTGTCATTTCTAAGCCACTCGTCCGACATCTGTTAAAATTATTCCAGGGACAGTTCATTATATTGTTTAAATGCGTACAAAAGCATTTTGGTGAGAATTTACCAGAAAAACAGTTATTCGTGATGGAATTCAAGCGTGATAGCGTAATTTCTTATATTTGGCTGGAAGACCACAAGGGGCTATAGTTAGAGCACTCCAGCATTTAAATGTGAACAAATCTTTTGTGTCTCGTAACATCGCTCGTGACCGTAATCCTGGAAGCATGGCCCGACGTCAAGAATGTGGATGGAAGAAAACAGCAACATCAGCAGAAATGGTTCGAAAAGAAAAGAAGCGACTTGGCCACTTGCAGTGGCCGAAAAATGGCTCATGAGCTGAACATATTCCAATGTTCCATTCGGCAAATATTGAAAAATGAGCTCGGGGTAAAGCCATTAAAATTCCTTGAAAAAGAACTTACACCTCAACAGAATGAAAATAGACTCAAAAGAGCTAAAGAGTTGCTTCGCTTGGCCGAAAGTGGTGGATTGCCGAATTTGGTTTTCTCCGATGAGAAAACATTCGTTGTCCAGCAGTTTGTAAACAAACAAAATGATCGTGTTTACTTGCCAAAGAGGTCAGCTGAAAATGTGCACCTTCAGTTGGCCACCAGAACTCATGCGCCGGCCATGGTGATGGTGTGGGCAGCCATAACAGACGATGGTCGCTCTTCGCTCGTATTAATCGACCGTGACATCAGAATAAATGCCGAATATTATTGCGAACATATTCTGAAGGGTGTATTAAAGCCTTGGGCACGCAAACATTTTGGCCGCAAACCTTAGACATTCCAACAGGACTCAGCACCATCGCAATCAGCACGCGCCACCCAAGAATGGTTACAAAATTAGGTTCCTCGCTTCATTTCCAGCGAACAATGGACACCAAAATCTCCGGACACCAATCCGTTGGACTATTGTGTCTGGAATATTTCGGAAAGCAAGGTTGGCACTAAAAAATATCAAAGTGTCGATCACCTCGTTGTCGCTTCACCGGGAATGGGCCAAAATACCGCAGTGCATCATTCGCGCAGCGTGTGGCGGTTTCATGTGCCGTTTGAAGGCCATAATTCGTGCCAAAGGTGACCAATTCGAAAAAATCTAAACATATTCTACAATTTGATGCCATTTCCGATATTTTTTGCTTTCATTTAATAAGATTAAAAATTATGGTTTTTACCTTTGTTGCAGATTTTTTTATCTCACCCTGTATTTTTATAGAAGACCTTTGTTTCTTCTCCTAGAAAAACAATGAGGTACAGAAAAAAAAACAGATGTCTTAGACGATCTCAGAGAAAACTGATTTGTCTCCCCTTATAAGGCCATTTATCGTTCTCTCTTTGAAGACCATTAGGGTCTTCTTATTGGAGACCAATGTGTCTTCTGTTAGACGACCAATAGTTCTTTGATAGAGGACCAACAAATCTTAAATCGGTTATCCTAAAGAGGACAAAAGATAACATTAAAGATCGATTGGACTTTCCATTGAAGACCAATGGGACTCTACATTTGCGACTTATATAGGTTGTAATAGGAGACAAATATGTTTTTCACAGAAGACAATTGGGTCTGCTCATTGGAAATCTATTCGGGGTCTCACGAAAATAAATTTCTTCTCAGACCGTGTCTTTTGTTTTAACTAAAAATGCTATAACTTCTTGAAATTGAATTTTTTGAGATGTGAGGCTTTTTGAGTAGGTGGTGATCGGCTGGGTAATACAATTTTACCTTTTATATTCTGCCATGGTTTTAATGTAGTCTTTAAAAAAATTTTATCCCTTCGGCGTTTTCTGCATTTGTGGCCACCAAAGCCTTATTATGATTGCTACTAAAGTTAATTTTTTTTGATATTCCAATTAAGGGCCTGTAGCTTCTGTTTTTTTTTTCGGAGACATTTCAACAAAATTATTTTCGTTTTTATTTCTCCTTTCCATTTGTATGACCTCTCACGTTTCCCAATTAAGAGCATGTCAATTAAAAACCAACAAATGAGGACAACTACAGCAACGACAAGAAGGAGGTTAATAAAATACGTTGAGATTTGTTTGTCCCCTATACAAATCTCAACAATTTTGTTAACCTGCTTCCTTCTTCTCGTTTTGGTTGTCCTCATTTGTTGAGTGGATTAAGCAGAGAAAAAGCTTTTACCCACCAAAAAATATGATTATCTTCCATTATTATTAATAACAATTATTATGAAAATAATAGCCGAGGACTGCAGTGAATTTTTGGTGAAATTTTTATTGAAATGATTATTATGGGAAAAACACCCAAAACAAGGGGTGCCGAA